ACACACCGCGGGCGTAAAAGAACTAATCGGTGAGTGATGATGACATTTGGCTTGCAATGGATGAGTATAAACAAAAACAGCATAGAGGGGCAAATTTGGGACATTCATTGATTTAATTTATTTCCCCTTTCTCCTTTGAAAGATTAACGCAATTCTCTAGTAAGGGATCGATTTTTGTTGTGGATATGAAGATGCAGCGATTCACAAGAGAGATGTGAAGACAAGAATAATTCCTTTTTATTCCTTGTATATACATCAAACTTCTACAACTCCTCAATTTATAATACAAGTGAAAAAAGAAAAAAAAAATCTCCTAAATTAGTAGACTTGGAAGTTACCGTGATTACATCAAGCTAATTATAAACAACAATCTAAATATGGTATACAAGTAAATCAAATAAAATCTTCGGGATTTTTCTACACTCCCCCTCAAGTTGGATGATAAATGTTAACCGTATTCAACTTGCAAATGAAATCTTCAAAACTTTGTCGCGGTAGTCCTTTTGTAAACATATAAGCAATTTGCTCTTTTGCAAGAGCATAGGTCAAGCAAATAACTCCACTCTCAACCTTTTCTTTAATGAAGTGTCTGTTTACTTCAACATGTCTGGTTCGATCATGTTGAACCGGATTAAGTGAAATATTGATGGCTGCTTTGTTATCACGGTAGTGTTTGATTGGAAGTATCACCGTGGCTTGTAATTCTTCTAAGAGTTTCTTTAACCATAGTCCTTCATATATTCCTTGGGCAACTGCTCTAAACTCTGCTTCAGCACTGCTTCTTGCCACTACATTCTATTTTTTACTTCTCCAAGTTACCAAGTTTTCCCATACAAAAGTACAATAACCGGTAGTTGATCTTCTATCATCTATTGAGCCTGCCCAATCTGCATCTGTGAATATCTCTACTGTTCTACTCTCACTCTTCTTGAAGAATAACCCCTTCCCAGATGAACCTTTTAGATATCTGAGGATTCTGTATACTGCTTCCATATGAATCTCTTTTGGTGAATGCATATGCTGGCTTACCACACTTACTGCGAAAGCAATGTCTAGTCTAGTATGAGATAGGTAGATTAATTTTCCAACTAGTCATTGATATCTATCTGTTTCAACTGGGTTTCCACCATCTTCTATTCTCTTTCCTGTATCAATAGGTGTGTCGCATGGCTTGCATCCAAGCATGCTCGTTTCAATCAACAGATCATGGATATATTTTCGTTGCGATATACTAATCCCTTTTTTCGACCTTGCCACTTCCATTCCTAAGAAGTACCTCATTTGTCCCAGGTCCTTCACTTCAAATTCAATTGCTATATTTCTCTTGAGTCTTTCCATCTCAATTGTGTTATCTCCAGTTAAGATTATATCATCCAAATATACAATTAGAATGGTCTTCTTCCCATTTTTTGCTTGGTGGAAAAATATAATATGATCTGATTGCCCTTGTTGATAACCTTAGCCTTTTAACACCTTTGCAAATCTATCGAACCATGCTCTAAGTGACTGTTTGAGGCCATACAACAATTTCTTGAGTTTACAAACTCGATTTTCCTCTTCACTTACACAAAATCCTGGTGATAAGGTTATAAAGACCTCTTCTTCCAGTTCCCCATTGAGAAATGCATTTTTTTTGTCTAGTTATTGAAGGGGCTAGTCCAGGTTAACTGCCAAAGATAATAGGACCAGAATTGTATTTAACTTTGCCACTGGTGCGAACGTTTCTGTGTAGTCGATGTCATATGTTTGTGTATATCCTTTTGCAACAAGACGAGCTTTATACCGTTCTATTGAACCATCAGCTTTGTACTTCACGTTAAAAACCCATTTGCAACCTACAGGCTTCTTTCCTTTGGGCAAGTCCATAACCTCCCATGTATCATTTTTTTCTAAGGCCTACATTTCTTCCATCACTGCTTCCCTCCATTTTGGAACTTTCAATGCTTCCTGAATACTTCCAAGACTTTCTGTACTGTCAAGATTATATGTAAAAGTACGAAAATCTACAGACAGAGCTTTATAAGATATAAATTTTGAGATAGGGTGGAGAGCACATAACCGAGTTTGTTTTCTGAGTGCAATAGGTAGATCTATATCTGGTTGTTCTGGCTCATTAGACTTATGAACATCTGGAGCTATCATCGGTTCCAATTCTAGTGGTGCGTCAAATGTGAGATTTTCCTTTGGTTTTGGCTTCCTTGAATAAACTAACATCTCCCTGTCGTTTTGTTTTTCTATATCTCCCCCTGAGTTCAAGTTCCCCTCTATGTATGGCATGTTAGAACAGGGTGGTATGACAGGTTCAGTGATATGGGTAGGCTCAAAGGAGATATCAAAGTCTAGAAACCAATCTTTACTCAAATTCTCCCCCTGAAGAGAGGTTTTCTTGAAATAGGGTGTCTTTTCAAAGAATGTAATATCAAGGCTAACAAATGTTTTTTTTTTGAAATTGGATCAAAGCATTTATAACCCTTTTAAATGGGTGCATATTCAATGAGAATACATTCTATTGTGCGAGGATCCAGTTTGCTTCGATGATGAGGATGAATGTGGACGAATGCAGTACAACCAAACACTTAAAGAGAGATGTTTGGATTTAGTCGAGAGTTGGGGAAGAATTGTTGAAATCTTTGAATAGGTGATTCAAAAGATAGGATTCGGCTGGGCATTCGATTAATAAGATAGGTTGATGTTAGGATAGCACCTCCCCAGAACATTTTTGACATATTTGTAGTGAATAGTAGGGTATGAGCAACATCAAGAAGGCGTCGATTTTTCCGTTCGGTAATTCCATTTTGTTGTGAGGTGTCAACGCTTGAACTTTGGTAGATTATCCCATGCATTTGGAGATAGTCTCGCAGGGTGGTATTGAAATATTCGGTACCATTATCGGTGTGTAAAATTTGAATTTGTGTTTGGATCATTAGGTGAAATTTAATAAATACCAAACAAACTTCACTTTTTTCTTTTAGCAGATAAACCTAATAGACTCGAGTATGATCATCTATGAATGTAACAAACCATTTGACATGAGTTCGATTGGGAACACGTGAAGGATCCCATAGATCACTGTGAATCATAGTGAAAGGTTTCGATGGTTTGTACGTGGATTTTGGATAAGTGGTGAGTTGGTGTTTTGCAAGTTCACAAATTTCACACTGAAAGTCAATAGATGTTTTATTCAAAAATAAGGAAGGAAACATACGTTGTAAGTATTGAAAGTTGGGATGACCCATTCTATAATACCACAATAGAACATCACTATCCCTAGAGGTACGCATAGAATTATAAATTGCAAGTTGACATTGTCTACTCACATCAGCCTCGTCAAAGTAGTAAAGTCCATAACATTCTTTAGCACTGCTAATCGTCGTCCCGATGATAGGTCCTGAAATACACAGTGAGATTGAGAGAATTTAGCGGAACAATTGGAATCTTTAGTGAATTGACTGACGGATAATAGATTACAAGACAAGTTTGGGACATGAAGAACAAATTTTAAAGTTATAGACTCGGAAATACGAATACTCCATTTTCCTGCGACAGATGAGAGTGATCCATCTGCTATCTTAACTTTGATATTGCCAGCACAGGGTGAGTATGAAGAGAACAGGTGGTAAGAGTCCGTCATGTGATCAGAAGCACCTGAGTCGATTATCCAGGGAGTTTTATATTTTGATGAAATATTTAGGGCTTTCAGAAGACTACCTTTGTGGGCTAATGAGCTCGAAGGACTGTATGCAGAGATTTGACTCGAAGTTTTGAGACTAGAAAAAATCTGGTAGAGTTGTTCTAATTGCTCACTGTTGAATGCTCCATTTTTCATTTCTTTGGATGTCCCTGTTTGATCAGCCGAAACTTGATAGACACGATTTTTAATACTTTGTCTCGGTTTCCAATCAATAGGCTTTCTATGTATGTTCCAACATGTATCTTCTTTGTGTCTCGGTTTGTGACGGTGTTCGCACCAAGGCTGTCCCCTTTGTTATTTTTGGCCCAAGCCATGTGTTGCTCCCTTCTCAGGCCCAAATCCTGTAGGCCCAAACTTAGAAGGCCCAATAGCTCCAAAGTTGCCTAGTCTAGAAGAGGGCCCAAATTAATTCATTTCAGGCCCAAGTTTATTCCTTTCTGGCCCACATGATATATTCCCAGCGTTTAGCCCATATGATGACAACCCATTTTCATTCCCAGCAAATCCGATTCCAGTCGACAAAAGTGCCAACATCTCTACATCTCCGGCTGTCCCAGTCTTCAACACTTTCCGACGGTTTTCCTCTCTCCATACCTCAGTGAAGACTTTGCGTGTTGAGGGCAGTGGCCGTCGACCCAGAATTCTTCCTCTTCCATCGTTGAGTTCGCGGTTCAGGCTTGTAAGGAATTCATAAACCCACTCGCTTTCGAGCTTCTTCCTGTATTTGACACTATCACTAGAACATTCCCATTCTTCTTCACCACTGAGATCGAGTTCTTGCCACAAAGAGGTCATTTCCAGGTAGTAGTCAGTAACGTCTCTCTCCCCTTGTTTGGTTTGCCACAGTCTCATTTTGATCTCAAAGATTTAGGATGAGTTTTCTGAATCTAAATACATATCCTTAACAGCTTCCCATATATCTTTTGCCGTTGGTAGAAATAGATATGTTTTTCCAACGAATGGATTCATCGAATTCACCAACCACGCCATGACCATCGAGTTTTCGGACTTCCACTTTTGCAAAAGAGCAGAATCAGTTGGCTTCTTAGTTTCTCCAGTCAGGTAACCAAGCTTTCCTTTGCCCTCAACTACCAATTTAATTGATTGTGCCCATTCCCTGGAATTTCTTCCATTCAACTTCTCCACCGTTAGTTGAAAAGAATTATTTTCTCCTCCAGTCGAGAGTGTGGCAAAATTGATTTTTGCCTCATTGTAAAGGGAGTCGGACGACATTGAGCTGTTGACGGGGACTTCCGTCATTCTTTCCACAGCTCTGATACCATGAAGACAAGAATAATTCCTTTTTATTTCTTGTATATGCATCAAACTTCTACAACTCCTCAATTTATAATACAAGTGAAAAAAGAAAAAAAGGAAAAAAATCTCCTAAATTAGGCGACTTGGAAGTTACCGTGATTACATCAAGCTAATTATAAACAACAATCTAAATATGGTATACAAGTAAATCAAATAAAATCTTCGGGATTTTTCTACAAGATGTCATGTCCTTAGAGCAAGTCAGAAAAGGGAGGGGTAGATCAAAACTAAATGGAAAGGCAAAAACAAGAGAAAAGCCTAATCACATTAAGTCAAGTCACACCCATGCATGCATTTATCCGTTGCCTGAGAGATTTGGGATTATCCAAGTCCACCGAGTACTCGGTGTTGTACTATATAATAAAAATATGAAAAATGGCACAGGGATCCAAGCATTGTGCCATATGCATAAGATTGGAAATGAAGCTCCCCACTAAATCTTGAAGAAAATGGGATAACTACCATGTGGTATGGTAAAAAGGGGATTTGATGTATTGAGGGAAGCAAGTGATATTCTATCAATTTTTTACATGGTCTCGCCAAGAAAACAAAAAAGCAACTAGGATGGTAGTAGAAAGAAGATAAAAGAAGTGCATGTGACATGTCTATCATCGTTATAATTGATAATTATATCAAGGATTTTGCTTCAGATATTAGAAGAGCGCTCTACAGTTAATTTAATTCGTTACAAGATTCCATTAATTAGGTGTAGCGTGCTAAATAGAGCCCAAAAAAGAAAACTAATGAAATTGGTGAATTATAAAAAACTGGTTTCTTTCCATAAATAACTCGATTATCATATTAATACTTTCACCATAATAATTCTAAAATCCTGAAACTAACATATATTAATACTAATCCTTTGAGGCTGCATCACATTGTAAATAGGTAATCAAGAGTTCCAGATGTATTAGACTAGACCTGGTTTTAATATCACAAACAGCAAAGAAAGTGTAGTAGATGAACATGAAGCACGATAAGTTAGTCACTTAAATCATAGAGCATTTGATATGATATATCAGTAGGAGCCAATACTAATAGCAAGGGATTCTTGCTTCAACTCCTTGAACACTCTATCCCAACAAAAAGTCAGTCAACTTAACACACATCCCATACAAGGAAAACATTATCTTTGTGTCCGAACTATATGTTATACTTACACCTCAGGAAAAAAATTTCACAATAAAACAATGTTCGATTTTGAAACATGAAATACCAATAGAAATTTCACAATAAAACAATGTTCGATTTTGAAACATGAAATACCAATAAATGATCAAACTACTATGTGCTCACACACGATCTATTGCAAAAAATGGTCAAAAAAATAAATTATAATCCATGCAAAACCCATTTCAACAATATGTTTCTTTTTTCTATATATATGAATGGTACCAGTCCTTAGGTATTCCGGAGGAGTAAATGCCAAGTTGGTGCTATAGCTTTTTCCATCCCTACTGTTCTTCATTAGACCAAAGCATGAAAGTCTGGGATTACCATCCTGTGACATAATAAGAACCTCGATGATTAAGTATATCATATATATATATATATATTGACAACAAGGAAAACGAGAAATACAGTCGTGGTAACTCCATGCTTACATCATCAAAGACTATTCTGTAAGCATTAAGATCATGATAAAGAGCACGTCCTTTGCTTGTACAGTATTCTAGAGCTTGTGCAAGATATAAAGCCACCCTTAACCGCATTGCCCACTTCATAGGTTGTGTTTCCCCTGAATCAACATGTAATTCAAAACAATAAAGCACAAAGATGAATGAAACAAATAAAATCAGGTATAAAGTGGAACGTACTGAAGCAAACTGACTTGCAAATAATGGTTCCCACAAAATTAAAGACGGTCCACGAGTTGTAAATTCAAGTAAAACTATAGAAAACAAATCCAGATATGACACCTGAAGATTCACTCGCTCCCTCCATCCCTCAAGGTAAGACTTTCACTATCAGAAGGGTTTGGAACAAAATGAAGAGGAAATTAACGTGTGGCTTGAAGAAGAAGAAAGATAGGAGATTCAGCGAGCTTTGGCAGCTCCTAAGGTGGAAGATAAGGAAGAATCATGGCAACAAAGTAAAGGAAGGTGTGTAGTGTTATAACTAAAAACAGTGATGCGGTATATATAATAGCTAAAGACATAGTAGCCAAGTTGAAACTTCTTATAGAAAAGTATCATCAGCCTCACTAGATGTCATAGATTTAGAAGGATGATCATATTCTGGTTACTTAAACGTGTTTGGTTCAATTTGATAAGCAACCACCATAACTGTAAGCCATATAAGTTCAAACAAATACAATGAGAAGTCCAGATAAGGAATGAAAATATAAAGATTGTGTAGTGTACTTACAGTGAAATAAGTGTTTTGCAAGGGTCTCATTGGGCATGAATTCTGCAACAAGCAACCTCTCTTCACCTTCACAGCAGCAGCCAAGTAAATTTGCCAGCCTATGGTTGCGGAGTTGACCAACAGATCTTGCTTCTTCCTGAAGTTTCAGAATATGTTCAAACATATTCAAAGCAAATGAGTCTTAAAATAGCATTAAAAGAACTAAGAAGCTCCACGTAATAGTTCATACATTCTTAACCAGTCCAATCCCTCCCCCAAACTCGGAAGCTATACAAAAAGTACAGAAAACCATATAAATTATATAATAATAAAGACGACCATCTTTCATGAAATAAGGACTCCAAAGTTTGAGGTGAACCAAAACTAGACAAATGTTAATTGGGCTGGGTAACAGATAAAAAATGACCACCAAGTCTTTGGCCTGCATTAAGACGGCACGTGTCGACTACTCTTATACGGAACTACTTACCAAGAACTGACGAGCATCTGGCCAAGCTGACCTATTAAAGCGTTTAACAGCAATTCGCCTCTCATTCTCTAACTTCCCTTTATAAACGACATTTGGGGCTTTCTCCCCATGCTCTGAAACAATGTTCTCTACAGCAAATCCAGATGTAGCTATCCTGAGCTGTTCGATGGAGTATTCACGGAATGCAGGCAAATCATTGACTTCACTTTTCTCCTCATTTTCTGCAAACAAATTAAAACCTTCAAAATCAATTTTTCCATTACCCTAAGGGGAAAAAACGAACAAGAAATTTGGCACACCAGCATTATGCGCCTCGCGAACTGGTCCATTCTTCCTCGAGATAAAACAACACAAAGTGAATTTTGAACACTTGCAGCCCATCACACTACCACCACTCCAAAGACACGAACCCACCCTCAAACTTCCGGAGTTGTCCAAAAACTACAATTTCACCGTTCACAAACTCTCCATCCAGCTTCACATTCCAAATATGCATGGCAAATAAGACATGTGAACTATAATGGTTATTCAACTCTGTGACACCAAGAAAATAAGAAAGAAACCACAATTATAATTCTTTAAAAAAACAGCCACGCAAAAACAAAACTTCGTATAATTTTATATTACTTTCAAACAGTGACACCTTAAGAGTTGCCACTACGGCAGTAATAAAATAGGGCATGCTTCTATGTAATATGATATATGTATGACTTTTTATGTATTATTCGTGTGTCTGTTATAAGTACCTGAGCTGAGCTTTGTTGCCTCAAGTTTTCTTCAGGTTTCTCCACAGGAACCAACCCTGATCCACACCAAAAATGGAATTAGAATCAGCCAACAGGATTTTGAAATGAAGATTGATCACCAATTTAGCAACACAACGAGATGAACTTCAAACAATTGAACTCAAATTTATTGAATGAGCCAAATAAAATCAGGATAGTTCCAAGGCTTTTGAGAGGCCTGGACTCTCCCAATGACTCAACCAAAAGAACGTGAATGACTTCCCCTTAACTCCCCCACCCCCCAAATACATTTATTCCCTCCCCATGCAAAAGACTCTTTTTTTCCCAAAGTACCCCTAACTACTAACTAACTGGGACTGAATTAGTTGCTGCATTGTTTGCCTCCATCCTTGCTGTGCCTTGCTCTTTCTTTCTTCTCTCATAGGTGAGCTTGATCGGGGGCCTATCAGTCAGCGTGTTTGCTAAGCATATGTCAAATTGACGGGGTGCTCTAAATTGATTGAAAAGTTCAAATCTTTGCAAAAGTAAGCACATTTTTACAAAAAAAATTGCATACATGAGCTTTCAGCAGAAAACACAAATTATCCCAATTCAATTTCCCTAAGTGGCCATAAGAAATACACAAAAGTAGTTCAGATAGACTATATACTGGTGGGCCCGGATGCATCATATTTGCATTTTATTGTAATGTACAGGAAGATAATTCAAAACTTCTCATAAATCACAGTGCAACATACGAAAAGCAGAATGTATAAATTTAAGAAAGTTACCTTTAGCGAAGATTCAAATCTGAGTCAACTTAGAGACACAAAATCCTCATTTTCTGAATCTCAGTGCTTTCAACTTTCTGCAGCACCGACCGGAAAAAAGCTTCCTTTTCAACCTGAGTCACTCAACTCAGTCATTAACCCGACCCAAGTAACGATTTCAGTCATTCGAAGTCATAATTAGAACACAGAACGGAAAATATCCTAATAAAACCATTTCACCAGAAAATCCAAGAGCTAAAAACCCTTTTTGTAAAATGAAATAATCAAAACCAACTTTCAATAATGATTGTTACAAATAATACGGAGAGAAAAAAAGTAGCAAAAAGAAAGAACCTTTTCTTGATTATAAACTTGATTAGGTCAAAGCGCAAAGTGACAGTCTTTTAATTATATATATATTAGCGTGTCTCATTTGTGTGTAATTAATGATATTATATATACGAAGTTGCATGTATGAGAGTGGTAGTTGAGTAGAGAATCAAAAGAGAGATCAGAAGGAGAAACTGTCGGATACATGTGTGTATACAGATGTGTGTGTTTTTGTTTGTTCTTTCTAGTGTGTACTCAATGCTTATTTTTTCAATTCCCACCGACATTTTATTACTTTAATTATTTTTTGTTTATTTTTATTTATTTATCATTATTTGTTTTCTGTGCACCTAAGGACGTAATCACTATATTTAATTGACATTCCCCTTGCTAAGAATTATTGATGTTCAAATGTTTGTAGCAATAGATTGTAGATAGTTATCATATGGTCAATTAGATATTGTGATTACGTACTTAGGTGCACAAAAAATGAATAATAATAAATAAAATACAAGTCCGTTTGACCCTTATTTTGTAGAAATGAAAATGAGTGGAAATGTGTTTTTTTGAAAAATAAATGGTTAAAAAAGAAGGAAATTTTTTCGATTTATGTATAATATTATTTTATGAAAGATTGTGTGGTTGAAAATATGAGAGAAAAAATAAAATGTAATGAAATGAAAATTAATGAAGGTCAAACAAGGGATAGTTTTGTTAGTACAATACATTATGAAATATAAATTTTAGATAGAACTTGAATTTGAAAGACATGATAACATGTATGTGCTCGGATCAATTAAAAAAAATAAAAAATTTACACATAATTTTTTTACAAGATAAAAAAAAAAATCAAATTACACTAAAAAAAGCGGGGTCGCCCCCCACCCAAAATCCGTCTATGCTTCCAATGGAGTCACGCGTGTATTTCTTTTGGCAAAACAAATCCATTCCACCTTCAATTGACGAGCAACATCATGCACGAACAAAGTTTCCTATATTTGTCTTTATATGAACTTATAAGACGAATGGTCTCATTGGACATGACTTTTACTTTTACTTTTGTTTACTATATTAAGAACTCTCGGAGAAAATTAACTTTATTTTTGTTTGAAAACTAAATATCAAAAGAATTTTCTATTTCAAAAGTGTTTTAAGAAGCTATATTGGACCAGATTTCTCTAAAAATCCTTCTAATTAGAAGAACAAGAAATTCACTCATCTAGATTTTTAATATCCAACTTTAAAAATCAGATCCAAAGTTTGTTTATTCTAAAATCAGATATTTTTTAATTAATTAATAATTCATTTACCGCACAATTTCAATCACAAACCCTAATTCTCTCTCCCCCATCTCTCGTCTTCTCCTTCACTGAGCCAAACCTAACCACCACTGGCGAACGCAATCCACACACAGACCAGTTTAAACTCAGGTAATGAACCTCTTTAGTTAACCCCCAAAAAGGGATAGATCCAACAGAAATTTCATTCGTTATATATGGTAGATAAAAGGGAGACATCAAATGATTGCTGAACTGTATGAGTTAGAAGCGAGCAAAGGGTTTAAAGGACACGTAGCCGGGAGTGAGCCGGATTTGGAAATTCCGGAGGCAAGCGTCAAGCATGACACCACCTCTTGTCTTCTCCTTCACTAAGCCGCTCTCCCATCTCTCTCGTCTTCTCCTTCGGTGAGCCGCACCCAACCACATCATCGAAGGCGATCCACACACAAACCATCAGAGGCGACCATTGTGCATGACGTCGTCGACATGTTCGCACACAACTAGCAGCATTTCAGTTCTGATGATGGAGATTTATGAATTTGATTTGTTGGTGGTGCTTGAGTGGCCGTGGCAACGATTTGTTGGATCTGATGGTGGAGGTAATGGTGGATCTTCTTGGTGGCAGGTTTGTTGGATTTTATTAGTGGCAATGGGGTGATGGTGGTTTTGTTGATGGTTATGGTGGTGAGGTGATTGTATTTGGTGGTCATTTGATCCCTAATTTTGTGAATTTTGTGGTGGTGGTGGATGTGTGGTGGTGAGGTGTTGGTGATGTTGGTTGTCGTCGTGGTGGCGAATTAGGATATGGTCATTTGTTACTAGAGTTGCAATCTGTTTTTCTTACATTCATAGTTTTACCCATTCATATCAATACAGTTTATACTATTTTGCTGGTTGGTTATCGCTTTTGAAAAGCGGTAATTCTGGAAACAGTGGTGATTCTGGCAATGACGATGGTGGTGCTACTGCTAAGGCATTGGTAAGGTGGTGGTCGCAAGTGTTGGTAATAGTCACAAATTATTTAGTTGATTGTGACTATTAAATTGGTTAACATATGACCAATAAAACAATAATTGACCAATGAAAAAGATAAATTGCGATAAAAAAATATTGTGTGACCTAAAAAATTGATAATTTAGGATCATAATTTGATATGACTTATAATATTTGTTATTTGTCATCGATAAATAAATCATGACTTATAAATTTTTTACTTGTGATCAATGAATAAATTATGATCTATAAAATTTCTGAATTGTAACTGTAAAATAATTTGTAAATATAAAATTTCTGATTTGTAATCGAAAAATAATATATGACTAACTAAATCATTAATTTATGAACAAATTGTATAGATCTGTGATCTAAATATATTTAATTAATAAAATTATTAATTAATTAAATCATAAATAATATTTTAATAAATATATGATTTTTGAAATTTGAAACATTTGTTCTTAGTTTTAAAATTGGTGATATTTAGCTCCCGTTTGGTAGTAATTTTTCACACCAAAAAATCAATTTTTTGACCGTTATTTCACTATTTCAGACGTAATTTTTGACTTCTTCACTCACAGATAGGACCTACTTTTCTCTCTAACGATCAAAAATCAGTTATCATAATAACTAGCGAAATGGCCCTTAATCTCTTAGTTATAAATTTTTCCCTTAGTAGAAGTGCTTTTATAAAATTAAGGGAAAATTTCATAACTAAGAAATTAATTATGACACATTTCAAAAACAAGAAAACAAGTTTCAAATTTCTAAAATCAGATTTTTATTAAAAATTATTTATAATTTAATTAGTTAATTAATTATTTTATTAATTAAATATATTTAGGTCACGGATCAATACAATTTGGTCACAAATTAACAATATAATTAGTTACTTATTATTTTTTGGTCACAAATCAAAAATTTTATGTCACAAATTTTTTTACGATCACAATTCAAAAATTTTGTAAGTCACAGTTTGTTTATTGGTCACAAATCAAAAAATAATTAGTCACGGATTAATTTTTAGTCACGACTTATCATATTATTGGTCACAACTTATTTTTCGGTCACAAATTAAAAATTTTATAGGTCACATATTATTTTTCGATCACGAATCAAAAATTTTATAGGTCACAGATTAATTTTCATCACAACTCAATAAATTATAAGTCACAAACACAATTTTTAGGTCACGTATTATTTATTAATTTTAGTCACGAATTAATGTTTAGTCACACTTATCAATTTATTGGTCACAAATCAAAAATTTTATAAGTCACAAATTATTTTCCGATCGCAAATGAAGATTTTTTAAGATCACAATTCAAAAATTTTGTAGGTCACGATTTGTTTGTTGGTCACATAAGTCACAGATCACAAATATTATAAGTCACGTATTATTTTTTTTAGGTCACACACTATTCTCGATTATAATTTATCATTTTTAGTGGTCACATATTATTTATTGATCACAGGTTAACCAATTTAATGGTCACGATCAATCAATTAATATGTAACCATCACCCAACCACCATTACGACCACCGCCACGACCATCACCATCACCATTACCGCCGCCACCACAGTAGAGCACCTCCGCCAACGGGGCCACCACCACCTCATGACAACATATCAACACCACTGTACACCAACAGATTCACCACGACAACAGAGCATCGTTGCCACATCAACCACCACTATCTCACGACAAAACCGATCAAGCCTAGCATATCAACAGATTAACCACCACAACAGAGCAAACGCCGCCACCGGAGCAGCGACCACCGAACAGAACCACCAACAACACAATAGAGCCGCCACCACTTCCACCAGATCTAAGCCATCGCCAAAAACTATCATAGCCACCACCATCACCCGCACCACCGCAGTACTGGGGAAGAGGAGGAGAGACGAAGGGAGAAGGCGCCACCGCCCCTACCATCTAATCCACAACGCCACCACTACACAAACCACCCGAACCGTTAGATCAACCACAACACAAGCATCATCACCACCACACCCAAAATCACCACCGCACAAACACATCGCAACGTTGTTACTCACCCAATCGCCCACTCCACCACCACAATAATCACCATAGCCACCACTGCAGCGACCACCCACACCATCGCACATCCAATCGAGGTGCTGCATTGACGGTACTGGGGGAGAGGGAGAGAAGGAGAGACGAAGGGCGAAGGCGCCACCACCCCTACCACCTAATCTACCACGCCGCCATCGCCACTACACAAACCACCCGTGACTTCACCCAACCACCATCACGACCACCAATTAATGGTCACAGTCGATCTTCGCCAGGAAAGGGTTGAGAGAGAAAGAGAGATAAGGAGGCGATGGGGAAGGGTTGAGAAAGAGAGAGAGAGAATTGAGAAATGTGAGAGAATTAGGGTTATATTTATTTTATAAGAATATTAATTAAAATAAAATTTCTGGTTTTTGAAATGTTAAACTTCTCCCCTGATTTTAGAATTCAAAATTTTAATGCTAGGGTTTTGTGTAATTTCCACTAAAATTAATCAAACGAGCCCAAAAATAATTAGTGGATCTCAAACTCATTTTGACTTTAAAAAGCCATGTCAAACGAGCTCTAAACACAATATGAATGTCTAAATGGGTAAACATGGTTCCAAATGGGAGTGTCTTTTTTTTTTTTTAATTTTTTAAATCGCACCATTTTATGGTTTGAAATTTTTCAAATCACACCAAACCAATTTTGTAGTTTGATTTGATTTCAAACGATGATTTAAACAATATCAAAATAATATATTTCAAACAAATAAAAGAATAAATAAATTGATTTGGAATTTTATCATAACGCTTAAACTGAAAACATTTAAACCCAAACGGTACAATAGTTATATAATTGTCTAAAAACAAGAGTAAACCAATGAATTAATGCAATGTTTAACTATAAAATTTAAGTTTGCAATTTCATTCT